TAAAACAACTTTTATTAATTAGTATTAATTGTACATCACTAAAATACTTAATTACCAAAAAATGGCTAAATCTTACCTTGAACAAGAATGATTTAACAATCTTATTCAGTTAACAATCAAAACACTGAGTAAGCCAAACAAAACAAGTATAACCATATGATATTTCAATTGTTTATATATCATATGGTTTACAGTTAAAATATATATATATATATATATATATATATATATATATATATATATATTATTTTCTAAGACTTCTTCAAGTCTGTTTGTAATGGAGTCAACCAATTTTGGGCTAAGCCTGTTCCACTTTTCGAGGAGATATTTTTTAAAGTCTTCAATGCTAGAAATTTATATATACAATCATAGTCTATTATATATATGGTAATAATTGTTTAAGAAATTGAGCACAAAAGTGTGGCAAAATTGGCATACCAATGAAAAACAGAAAATTGTGTCAATTGCTATTAGTAGGGTACACCAATTCTGGTATCTTGGCTCGACACTCAAAAGTAATGGAATAAGTAGAAAGTAAATAGAAAAAAAGAGTTACAGACAGGTGGAAAGCTATTTTTTTTTTTTTTTTTTTTTTTTTTTTTTTACGGATGAGGATTATTGAAAACCCAAATAAATGGAAAAAGATTATCCGGGAGGAAACAATTGAAGATTGGAGCAGACGGTGGGTGACGACTCCAAAAGGCAGTACCTTAAGAAAATACTTTCCCACCGTTGAATCTCGGTTACAGGCGAAATGGGTCCTCCCGGACTATTGGGTTTCACAATTTCTCACGGGGCATGGGGGTTTCAGAGCTAAACTTCATGGCTTCGGACAGGATATAGATCCCCACTGCCCCGATTGTGGTGTTCCGGAGACTGTTGAGCATGTGGTCACGGCCTGCATTGCTTTCGACGAATTAAGAGCGAGGTTAATGAGAACTACGGGAATTTACGTCCTCACTGAGGAGGAGTTTCCTCAGTTGGTGAGTGAAGAAAACTTCCTGCGGTTCAAAGAGTTTATAAATGGCTGGAAGACGGCGGTGGGCCCAGGTCACTTTAACCTAGGTGCACGCAGAAGGAGAAGAGGACCAGTCCCAGGAAGACCTCCGGATTCGGGAAGCCTGGCCTAATTTGCTGAAGAATGAGGAAGTGGAAGAGCTAGATGTGTGCACAGCTTAGAATTTTGTAAACCGATATTATGGCAGTAGTGTGTTATTATGCATTACTGATTAACATCACACTACTGCATACACCCGTGTTGCCCTGGTGGCATGGGAGGGTGGAAAACAAATAAATAAATAAGGTGGAAAGCTATTGACAAGCTAGATTCTGTGTTCTGGAGCAAAAATATTCATTAGTATATAAATAGTGTACTAGAGGTAATGGAAGAAAGAAGATTGAAATGGTATGGGCATGTTAAAAGGATGGATTGTGATCATGATCATTTCCTATTCAACAAAACATGTGACATTCTTAAAAAACAACAAAACATTAATTTTCCACTTTCCTGGGGCTATTGTTTATATAAACTTTTTTGTAGCTCTTGAGATCTACAACTATCTGTACTTTCTGTTTCTAGGTTCACTCCCATGTTAGTCTCAATATTTATTTTTTATTTGTTTCCTTCATACTGCCTTTATATCCATTATTTCATATTATTTTTCCTTTCAATCTTTCCTTGAGATCTTCCTTTTCTTCTTCTTATTCTATATTCAATATTCGGTGTAGAGATTTTTGCATCAGGATTTCCATCCGCCTCTGTCAAGGGCTGCTCTACTGGCTTCCCGCCATCCGATTCCTCTGTCTTAAGAATATTCTTGAGGTTATCTTCCCAAGTAATTCTTGGTCTTCCTCTAGTCCTCTAGTCGTTTTCCCGCTGATTTAGCCTCCATAATTTTCTTTGCTGAACTGTAGTCATCCATCCTCATTACATGACTGAACCACTGAAGCTGCTCTTTCTCTATTATCTGGGTTCAATTTTTAGTCTAGTCCATATCGTTGTCACATATCCGGTCTCTCTTGGTCTTCCCCTCTAATTTCATAAGATACCTCATTTCCATGCTTTGGAGGCGGCTGCTATCACGTTGCTTCAGCCCAGGATTTGCTTCCATAAGTGAGGATAGGGACTAACGTCGAGCGATAGACAGCTAGTTTTTTTTCTTTTGCCACTTCTCTCATACTTAAAAACTTCCTATTGATGGCAAAGAATTTACTTGAGATATGTAGGGTTATATTCATAATTAAATATATTATCCATCCTTCTAATTACATTCAATTTTTCCCTATCTACAACAATCGCTACCATTTATTTACTTCAGTTTAGGATCTTGTTACTTAGTTTACTCTGTTTATATAGTTTATTGTTCTTAATATTTTTATGTATTTTCTATTCACACTTTTTATAATTTTAATAAGTTTACCCCCATTATTTATAATTTTTATCTGAACATTATGTAACTTCCACAATTTTCTATATCTTTTTGTATCTTGTTCGTTCTAGCGCTGAAGAAGACCTGCAAAGTCGGGTCGAAATGTTGGCTTGAAATAAAATAGTTTTTCACTACTTTAATCTTATTATGACGCCACCCCAGATCATTTCCTTCCTCTAAAATATACAACATTCAACCATCAAGTATTAAATAATCATTAAATATCACATTTTGAGAAAAATGGTAAAAAATGTCGTTTGTTGATCATATTTTTCAACCAATTAACTATCAATATTAAACATTAAGTTTTGTTTTTTAAAGTTAATCATTAAGTATTGGTTGGGCTGTGTTGCATTTTTTTTTTAATGTTTTCATTCATATATAAAATTTAAAACCTTTCCCATATTTTTCACAACATAATCCTCGATTCATTCTTTAACTGACTGATCTATTTTTTGAATCTGCTGCTTTATAATGAGATACTAGGTTCATTTTAATTCAAATAATATATAATTTTCTTATTCACATTCAAACTTTCTCCTAAGATGGGTAATATTTATTAACCCAGAGCACAGTGGCCTGCCTATGCAATCTAGCCGGATAAAAAAAAAATATATATTTTTCAGTAAAAAATTATTTTAAAGGCATTTTAATCTATGAAATGTTTTTGTATAAAATTAAAAGATAAAACAATATATTTTATTTTTGGCTCATAATAATAGAAAAAAAGAACGGAAATCAAGTAAATTAAAAAAAAAAAAATTGTGTGCTAAAATATATTATTTATTAAATACTTTAATATATGATTAACCTACGTAAGCAATGTTTAATAAGCATATGTTTATTATTATGTAATATGGCTCATTTTCATTTCCCTAATAGACTTGTAATTAAATGTTTTATGTCTAGGGTCATTTGCCAGTTTTAAATAGTATCCATTACTGCTTCATTAATTTTATTATTTGAAAATCATCATTTATGTTTCAGGGCAACATTCTCCCTCTTCAGAACATTAACTTCTATAATTATATACTGCAAATATTTTAACATAATTTACAATTCTTGTTTAAAATATTTTAATATAATAATGATATACCTAGTCCTGTCATAAATATTGATAAAAGGAAATATATACAGATTTCAACAGAAAAATTATTTTTTTCAAAAACTTTATTAGAAAATGAAATCTATTTTATGAGAGTAAAACATAAAAGAAATTGGTCAAAATATCCCCTTTTGTCTTGACACAGGCATTTAATCTCCGTGGCCAGTCATCAATAGCAGCATACAGCACTTCTTGAGGAAAGCACTCAACTGCTACGACCAGAGATTGGTTGATGCTTTCCAAGTTAGGTTGTACTCTGTGGCATGCCATCCTCTCCAGTTCGGACCAAACTGATAATCTCGTGGGTTGAGATCAGGACTTCCTGAGGGCCAATCCGAGGCAGAGATGAACTCTTGAATGTTCTTTTGCAGCCACTGCTGATTTGACATGGCCTTGAGAGCTGGAGCGGAATCCTACTGGAAAAAACCAATGACTTCCAACAAACAGAGTATCATTTAGAGGCTTAACAATAAGATCCAAAATATCGTCCTGATAGTTTTTAGCGGCTGTTTTGACTCTTTTCACAAAAATGGAGTTTTGTGGAGCCACCAAAGCAAACTCCACCAAACCATCAGTGAGTAAGGGAGATGACCTCTTTCCACTCTTCCAGGGCTTCTTTAGAGCTGTGTGCATACACACGATCATTTTGGCGATTAAATTTTTCTTCGATAGTAAACATTTTTTCATCGCTAAACAAAATCTTTCTTCGATGGAGACAAATTGGTGTAACAGCCAAGGGGCACATTGTATCTATCCACTCTAATTTTTTTTAGGATTACCCTTTATCCTGCCATTCTTCGAAAAGCACCCATCCTAAGGTCACTTTTTACTATGCGAGACATTGATCTGACAAAGATTTCCATTTCCCGAGACATGATTTGTTGTTTTTGGATGGGATTTCTTCTGATTCGAGTAGCCACTGTTCTACTGCATTTGCCGTTCTTACAGTGTGGGGTTGGCCCGGTTGAGGTCTGTCACATACAGATAGGGTCTCATTATATCTATTTATAGAGCGGTACATGAACATACCGCTGATACCCAAAGGTTTCAAAGTGTTGAAAATCTTTGACCAACATTTTCCAACTTTGTGTAAGGCGATCGCAGGTATTCGGTTTTATTTATCACCCCACTCCATGTTAACTGAGTGAATGAAAAATACAAATAAATTGGGATTATTATCCTGACATGTAAAAAAAATAACCTAATAAAAGTAAGGATTATCTAAATAATACTAAGGATTATCTAAATAGGATGTAAAAAAAAGTTCAACTTTTGTAACAGTATTTATTTATAGCACATCTAGGTAGATGATAATAATATATCTTTTTCATTATAATTTATTAAAGAAGTAAATAATATATATAATATATAATAATAATAATATATATAATAATAATATATATAATATATAATAATATATATATATATATATATATATATATATATATATATATATATATTAAAAGGCCTAACAGCATGTTCTACTCACTTTTTCATTTTAATCAGACCAGATACATACAGCTCCATTGTTATTAGCTACCAATTTCCTTACATTATTATTATTTTTTATCAATACACCTTATCTTTAAACTATCACTTTTATAAAATTTAAAATAAAAATTGTTTATCTATCTATTGATTTTTATTCTGTTTATATCTAAATAATATGTATTTAAATTTTTAGCATAAGTTTTATAATTAATATCAATGTTTTATGTTATGTGGGTTAATTCTAATATTTTTCTGTTTTTTGTTATTACATCGCTTTCTTATATTTTTGGTTCATCAAAATCAAATTTGTGATGGAATTTTATTGAGTGATGTCAATGGGTGTTTGTCACATTTTATGTCCTTTTCTACTAAAATGTTCATTGGAATAATTAATGGTAATGAGATATTATTAATTAATAACAATTGAAAATTTCATCAAGAAAAAAAAAAATGACATGAAAATAATAAATTATTAGTTCTGAAAGTAATGTATAGTTTCTTTTTTATTTCAGAAGTAGTAGTGGTCAACAGAAGGGGATTTAGGGCACCAAGATGAGTATTACGGCAAACCACATATTACGAAAGTCTAGCAGCAGCTTACAGCTAGTAGCAATGCAAGGACTGGCAGCATTTCGAGGTTTCCATGCGGAGGTATGTCCTCCTGAAGTGTGCCCTGGGGATGTGCCGGGAAGATCTAAGTGTTGTCGTCTCAAGAGATCTCCGCCACGACCTTGCCTGATGCCATTACCTAGCTGCTGTTCGGTACCACTATCCCTTTGCCCACGGCCACAGAGGCCTCCTCAACCAGACTGTTGCCCCATCATCATACCAACTGCTAGTTGTGGATACTGTCCAGGACCCTGCCCCAGGTGTAGAGATATCCCCTGCTGATAGAAGCTATGTTCAACCACAAATATACAACTTTCTTAAGCTAAATAATGATTTCATCATTTTATTCTTATTAACTAGTGAATCATAAATGGTAAATGAATATACAATCAAAATTTTGAATATTTTTTTAATGTTACTTTAAGAGTATTACTTTGCTGAAAAAGACTAATAACAAGCTGCTCAATAATGAATAGGGATATTGTTAGTTATGTGTGATTTATTTCCCCAAGAGTTTTATTTTATTTTCTGTCTATTATATACAAAAAAATCTGGTGCGCGCAACACAACTTTAATTTACCCCTCTACTTTGAATATAAATTATTTTCTGACAATGTTGGGCTATTATAAAATTTTTGGAGTGTATTTTAAACGAAGCTAAAGCTTAAAGCTTACAGATAATAAATCATTAAGACCATTAAAATTACAAAAAGTCTATTTATTATATCGTCAATAAAAATATAGTTGTATTAACTCCATAACTTCAGTCTCTGATCCTTTCAGCTGACAGAATGACTAACTCCAATTTCAACATTTTTGAGTAATGTCAATTTAGTGATATTTCTAGTTGGTTATAAGTTATATCTATACAGAAAGTGCGCAAGTTGATTCCAAAGTAGGTGATTACAATGTTGAAATATAGAACTGTGAATAAAGGTATAAATTTTGCCACTAGAATTAATAATAAAGGATGTTAAAATTGGAGTTAGTCATTCTGTCATCCGAAAGGCTCATATATGCCTAGAGAAGTTTGAAAGTATATCTGAATATTTAACCTATAAATAATTAAGGATTGTAGGACTATTAGTTATTAAACTGTTCTTTTTCATTATAAAGTTTATTAAAATGAAATTATGAGATTTTCATTGCCTGACCTAAATAGGTCAAAAGTTGTCGTCAAACTAATTGTAATTAGATAATGTTGGTATTTCACAAAGGGAAAATTCATCAAATGATTCACTAATTTAAATTTCTAAAAGGTTACTTGATGATTTTTTTGGAATAAACAGCCAAATAGATACCTAATATTTTAATATTTCACTTCTTCTTTCACACAAGTACAATTAAATAGTATTTTAAATACTTGTTTTTCAAACTTAGAAAAAATTTAAAAGTTTACATTTAGTAAGAAAATTTCCTTGGAAACATGTGATTTACATTAAATGTTAGTTTTCTGAAATTATTATTTATATTTTTTTCGTCACTCTCCGTTACCTTCTACAATTTTATTTATTTGATGTTTTTTTCTATAACTCTCTGCTTTTCAACGATATATTGTATGTCTGTTATTATCCTTCCGACTGTTATTTCCGGAGATTCATTTTCAACCTGGATAAGCATTTTTCTTTTTTTCTCCGATCATCATATTCATTCAAACTTATTTAGCCATTTTTTATAGTTACTGTCAATGAAAGAGAGTTCATTTTTCAAAATAAAATTTAGAGAAAGACTTATAGTACTTTAGAGAAAGACATATATGAACATTGGGTATTTAAGCCCTGTAAAGTGACATCAACGGTGATAAGACCTAAATGGTATTTAAGACCACTTAACTATATAATAATACACAGCGTTTAATCAAAATCGTTAGAGCCATTTTTAAGAAAATTGTAAAAATGTGTTTCACCGTTGATATAAAGTGGCACTTTCGGTTATCCGATTTAAAGGAAAAAGTAGCTGTAATATCTGAGGCATATAAAAACCTTAAATATGCAATTTTTCTTCCTTACGACTTCTTATTTTTGAGCTAGACTGCTAGCAAACACACAGAACATTTTGCAGGACTTGGTTATTTGGACTCAGAAGACCTCAAAATATGTATTTCTGTTGAAAACTGAGATCGAAAATTTGCACGATCGAAATACTTACCTTTACTATATATTTCATATATAGGTAAGTGAAAGTAAAAAATTAGTGACAGTCATATTTTATTTTATTTTAATATTAGGAGAGTAAGGGGATTACAGAGGCTCAACTTTACAGCTTAGTCCTCTAGGCTGGATAGAGTTGATCTGTTATTATTATACAATTGTTCATTAAAGGATCTTTATTCATTAAAGGAACAATTACATATGTGTAGAGCCCCTGAAACCTTCTATTCTCCAGATACTAAATAGAGAAGACCCTGGTGTCTTCATTACCAATACCACCACAATCTCACCTCCAGACCTCATTGAAGGAAGAATAAAGTGTGGCACAGCATACTCATCCTTAGTTCTCGTTAGACTCTTAAGCACCTACAATAACTATAAATACAGATATGCTATTTGTCTGTGAACATAATATCATTCAAATTTGTATTCTCATATAGGTTCTCGCTCAATTTATTTTTACTTTCCTACCTATACTAGGTAAGGAAAGTATTGCAATCAGGTCAAATTTCCGATAAGCGGTTTTCGACGGATCTATACGTTTCAGAGCCCCTTGAGTCCGAAAAACACATTTTTAGCCATTGGTCTGTCTGTCTGTGCCAATATTTTCACGGGAACTATTGCACCGATTTTGTTGCTTCTTTTTACTTTCCTACCTATACTAAGTAAGGAAAGTATTGCAATCGGGTCAAATTTCCAATATGCGGTTTTCGACGGATCTATACATTTCTGAGCCCTCTGAATCCGAAAAACACATTTTTAGCCCTTGGTCTGTCTATGCCAAGATTTTCTCGGGAACTACTAAACAGATTTTGTTGCTTATTTTTTTATTTGGTAGGGTTTTGACTACTGATGCCTATGACAGAAATTCGGTGCTCCATGCGCAATAAATGAAAAACATGTTTTTCTATAGACTGTTGCGTGAAAACGGCTCTAACGATTTTGATGAAACTTTCCTATAATGTTCTAATAATTGTCCTTTCAATTTTCGTATGTAGACCGAATTCCTGAGAAAATTCAGGAAAAAAAGTTATAAAGAAAAGATTAGGGCAGGCAGTGAACATCTCATAATTTCATTTTAGTAAACTTTACAAAGAAAAAGAACAGTTTAATAACTAATAGTCCTACAATCCATAATCATTTATAGGTTAAATATTCAGATATACTATCAAACTTCTCTAGTCATATATGAGCCTTTCGGTTGATAGAATGACTAACTGCAATTTTACCATTCTTTATTATTAATTTTAGTGATGTTTCTAGTGACAAAATTTATACCTTTATTCACAGTTCTATATTTTAACACTGCAATTCCAATCTATATTTAGCACTGCTCTGGAATCAACTTACTCACTGTCTGTATAGAATAGATATAAATTTTCCAACTAGAAATATCACTAAAATGACATTACTCAAAAATGTTGAAATCGGAGATTGGTCATTCTGTCAGCTGAAAGACTAAGAGACCAAAGTTATGTGGTTTATAAAACTAGATCTTTATTGCCTACCGTCGATATACTTATTGTAATTTTAGACTTTAGCTCCGTTTAAAATGCACTTCAAAAATTTTATAATAGTTGGCCATTTCCAGAAATTAATTTCTATCTAAAGTAGAGCGGTAAGTGAAAGTTGTGTGTTGCGTGCACCAGATTTTCTTACGATATATTACATATATAGGTAAGTGAAAGTAAAAAGAAATAATGACTAATTATTTTTTTAATGTAAAACTTCGAAGCTTTTTCAAAATTTCTAGAAAGTGAGGATCAATGTCTGTGACCTGGGTTTATCAGATGATGCATAAATAAATATTTTTTTGTCATTTGAACATTGATATAAGCCCTCATGTCCCTGTCTAATGACATAAATGTGATTGAAATTTTGAAATTACTCATATGTTTTAGTATAAAACATTAGGGATTGAATAATACATACTATATATATTTTGAAAATATTCAAAAGAAACTAGATTTGATTTATAAAACAAATTTTATTAAAACAGCATTATATCATCTACAGTATTAACAATATTTAGTATTGATTGAATCCACAATAAAAGTGAATCTTGCTGTGTTTAACTTACAAAAATTGAAGCTTCTGTAAATAGTAACTCGATGAAATATGAATGTAAAACATTTGAACAGTATTATTGCTCACTAATAGTTTAAAACTATTTATAAAAGAAAACAATAATATTAATTTATAGAGTATATTTTTATATTTACTGTATTTTACTTATACCTCATACTTATCATAATAGATATTTGAAAATAAATAGAACAGTACAAAAAGTTGGAAATAGATTTTGTATTTGAACAAACGGTACACAAACTCAGAATACAGGTTAGTTTTACGACCCCCTGAAACAAATAAAAATATATTAAAATATTAACTTTGGAGAAGATTGAAACAATTGATAAATAATAAACAATTCATAAATTTTAATAGAGATGATTTCATTAGCATTAACATCAAAAGGATCGACGAACTGTATCACAAACTCGTAATTATATTAACCTGAAAATATATTTCTATTTACACAATGATAAGATATAAAATATTACCACTGGTATATAAATTGAAGACAAAACTACAGTTGGCTCATGTCTGTACGACAGGTAGGCCAAGATCACATCAAAGGCTGTACATTATGATGGATCGAAAAACATCTTTTTTTTCCGTTCAAATTGAAATATAGCAGAAAATATGCGGCTTTAGACAGATAAAAAATATATAAATTAAATCAATTTATATCTTTAGATTGCACATGTTTTAAAGTTTGTCAAAAATTCAGATTTTTACCATATTTAAATTTGCCACTATCCTAATGTAACAAACCAAATAAGTTAACTTAGTATTTTTTTTTTTCATTTACCTAAATGACTAACAATATTTCAAAACAAATTATTTTAGAGAGGCAGAAGTATTCTTAAGCAAAAATTATTTTCATTTTAAATATCGAAAAAGAAGACCAATGATACTAAATAAACTGATCAAGCTTCTTTGTTTTATTAGTTATTTTCAGTAGAAAGTACCCTGAATCCTGATTTCTTTAGATAAGCTAAAATTTTCACAATTTCCAGAAGTATGTACGGATATAATTCCATACAAAATCTGACCTAAAAAAAGAAAAGAAAAAAGGAAACCAATTTAAAATAGCATTTTAAACAAATTTATGAAAAAGAAAATCCATTTATTTGGACGCCTTTGTGGATTTCAGGATACCACGTATGGTAGAAACTCGCGAATGAGCTCCCGCAATCAAAGGGTCAAACAAGATACTACTATAGTTTTCCATCACCGAAAAGTAGCAGTATATTGAAAATCAAGTTAATGTTACTATTTTACAAGTGTTGCTCCACTTCGATGGGTGGGCACAAGATTTCATAATCACACTATTTGAAACTCTGAGAAGCCAAATACTGACCTGTTCACAGGTATAACCTCCTAAGCTGGAATGGCAAACGCATGTGTAATATGTCATCCCTGCAAAATTTGTGCAGCCGGAAGAGAAGTAAAATAAATAATGACAGGCTCCCTTTGTTTAAAATAAAATTACAGACTTTCATAACCTCCCAACTGTTTTTTTTTTTTTTCTATTAATATAGAATCTTAATTAGGTTTAATTATACCATTGGTATTGATTCCCACTCGTTTAAAAGGAATGATTAAACGTCCAATAGATCATTTTCAGTTTAGAATAGGGCTTTACCAGATGGGTAAATTATTAAATTCAGCAATGATCACACAATATGGAAATAGCGAACTGCATTAACAATATAAATCAAAATTACATACATTGCATAATCACTTCAATTAATTTATTCTTAGGGTCATAATTATAGATTGAAAATAATAATTCAAAATAGTGAAGTGGAAGTTGATTATCAGTCATGAGCACCAAATTTGCAATTACTTAGATATCCATTTCCTAGGAAGAACTGAAAATTCCAACAATAAATTGACAAACATTTCAATCCAAGGTATTGTTTGTATATAAAAATAATTGAGCAGAATAAATGTAACCAAACGTAAACATTCTGCTTTGTAGGGTTGGGAATATGTCATCTCATAATTTACTTTTAGACAAATTTGTATTGTTTTAGGATTCAAGCTATAGAATCCTCAAAGAACTCTTAAAATCCACCATCATCTTGAAGAAGCGATTTGGAACTAGTTCCATTTTAACAAATTTATTAAGTAATTGAAATAGGATTTGAAAGCTTGTAAGCATAGCCATAAAAATTATAGATAAACCGTTTCAAAAAATGTTCACATTTATTAGTCTGAAAAATATTTGTACTCACACAATGATGTTGTTGATAGGAATATGAATCAATTTCACAAAGAAACCAATGAATCCCATGATGGAAAATCCAATAGCTGTGGCAACAGCAATCTTCTGGAATTCTATTGACAGAACAAAACAGAGTATTACTGCCGGATGCCTATTTACATAAATCAATTAAAATAAATGTTGGCAATATTACCTTTCCTATCTGGTTTGGTACATCTTTTGACAAGTCTCATCGAATCTTTTCCAAATTGACGACCTGGTTCAATAACTTTTGAGATTTGATCCATTTTCTATTTAAAAAAAAAAAAAATCATAGTTATACCAATTACATAAACACGTTGTATGGAAATATAATTGACATATTATATGGAAATATAATTGTATTCTAGTAAAATTGACAACTAAAACATCAATAAATGCTCACTTACAAATAAAAATTATTATAATTTAATGGATACTTCAATACAACAATAATAATAATACATTATAAACTTACTGAAGAATATAACAATGAAAAGATTCTACGTCGAACTCCGTCAGAAACTTGCACAAAACTGAGAGATCAGAGAGAAACACGTCTTGTTTTCCAACTATGACTACGTGTCACGGAGAATAATCGATTGTAGACTAATCGATGTAAAAAGGCCCAAAAGAAATAGATAAAGTTTCAATAATTTAAAACTTCATGTTTATTATTAAATAATTACAATATTTTCTGATTGGAGGAATCATGGAAGAAATATTTAAACTTTTTATGAAGAAAATTACTTCGCTTTAAGTGAACAATGAATTATAAATTATTTCATATTTATTTGAGTACTATGTATAGAACATGCTTAAATAGATGTATACTGTTTACAATATTAAATAAATAATTTCAATAACAAATAAAAGGGCAATTTTGAACTAGAAGTTTGTGTGTATATATAATAATAATAACAATAAAAGCATATTTACAACTTTTTTGTATGTCTGGTCTTACGACGCAAATTTACATTTTTTTTTTTTTCCATGTCTAGTCTTACGCCGCAAAAGTGACAAAATTCTCTCACCATGGTGTAAAATATTCTGATGCGCTGTTATTCAGAGTCTGGATAGCAATTTTAGATTAATTTCTTAAACTTTAGCTCATACTTATTTACGATAGTAAATAACAACTTTTTACATTTTAAGGATGTAATAAAAATGTCAAGAATTTCATTCAGAATTTCTTTGATGAGTTAGCCGACGTTTCGACCCACACGTTTAACTTAAATTCCTAACAACGTTGTTCCATCTTTATAATTCATCAGCCGACTGCTTATCTATCTCTAAAGTTTATGAATTTAATTATATGTAATGTTAATTTATTCTTTTGATTAATAAAAAACTTCGGACTTTTTCAGGTTTTTTTTTTATTGTCTATATATCATTGAAAGGCTATGAAACCTGGGCACTAACCAGCACCCTAGAAAAAAGTACTGAAAGATTTGAGATTAAAATCCTTCGTTCGATAACCGGGGCGATCTGGGACCAGAATACTAACACATGGAGAAGAAAGTCTAATAAAGAACTGCTTACAGAAACTGGTCAATCAATATTTCATGATATGAAGGTACGGTTAAGATGGACTGGGCATGTAGCTCGTAGCAATCCATTTGGAAGCCTCTACGTAGCAATGAATGCCTCAATAGAAGGCAAAAGACCACGTGGAGGGCCAAAAAGCAGATAGATAGAAACGAGTCAACAAAGATGCATTAGAGCTGCGTGCAAATAACTGGAAAGGAATAGCCCGTTGAGGCGGCAAAAGATCTAGTCCGTGGACCAGACTCCCCTACCGTGCACCCTTCCCCCTCTCCATAATAAGTTTCCCCCTTATAAGTTTCATATCGTTGTGTTCTTTTTAATTATTTGTGTAAAAAAAAGCCGATTTCACCAAACAATGTGAACGCAATGCCTCAAAATGGCGTCCAAACATGGCGGAGTGACGACTTGGAGTCAAGTTAGTTTTTAGACCACTGAGAATTAGAATTTGGTTTAATTTCTTCATTATGAGGCTTTTATTAAAGGTCTGGATGGTTACAGAAACATAAAACATGAAAAAATATTACGAAATAATTGGCTTAGACAATAAAAAAACACCAGTAAAATAATTTTTTTCAAGTTGAATATCAAGCGTCGTTTGTAATTAAGCGGCCTACAATATCGAAAAACGTCTTGAAATAAAACATCTAGAGAATACATTTTTCACACTAAAATATGTGAAGCAGTTCCGTAGAAAATGCACTTAATCGGAGGAAAAGCGGTACTGGCGCATGCAGGCTTCTGTCATATCATTCAGTACTCATAAATACAGGGGTGCCAGGAGTGATGTTTCATGGCGCAAGTTGTGCTATCAAAATTTTTGAGGGAGGCATATTTGAACGAGTTTTTGAATTTTTAAGGGAGCAAATTTTAGCGGGATTGCGAATGTTCGGAATGAAAAGTTTCAGCCTAAAAGGACAAAGAGAAAACATGGAACAGATCGCAGCAAGTGTAATTTTTATATGATCTGCGATTCTACCTTCGCTTGCTTTGTTTTTAAGAAAAGGTAGGTAATAAGATACATTGAGAAGAGGAGGCAGGTTGGTTTTTGATCCATCGATCTTGGAAGGAATGGGCATCGCTGCATAATGGCATAGTTATAATGCTGTAATAACGTTTTTTTTATACATTTTTTTTTTAGTTCCTTTATTTTATACGGAGGACGATTAAGAATTCCTCTATTACTAAATGATGAAACTATAATAATAAAAATGAATTCATAAATACTTCGCTAAATATCTCGAATTTTTAATTTAAAGTTTTCAATTTAACACTTCCTTTATATATATTTGCTGATTCATCGAATTAAGTTAATGGTATGTACTTTCTAGGAAATGAGTCATATTAATACCATTTTTATAAACTAAAATATATGCTTAATCTGAACCAGGGGGTTACATGGCATAAGTTGCACCATCAAAATTTTTGTTGGGGCATACTTTGATGGATTTTTGAGGGGGCAAATTTGGACGGGATCATGAATTCTCAGACTAAAGGACAAGGGGAAAACATGTAACAGACCGCAGCAAGTGGTGGGCGTGGTGGCCGAACGGGCTAACGTGTGTGCACAGCACCGCCGTTGCCTAGCAACCTGATCTACAATACAATGAACTTAAAATAGTCACGAGTTCCCATCCTGGTGCCGGGGGAATCTTTTAAATCCCCGCCCACACCCCTTTTCCGAGAAAACCCTGTATAGCCTTAAAGGCGAGGAGCCAAAAAAAAAAAAAAATACGCAGAAAATTTAATTGCATATGATTTACGATTTTTCTAATTCTACTTTACGTTGCTCTGTTTTTTAGAAAATGAGAGCAATAAAGTATCTAGATTGAAAGGGGGGAGGGGTCCCCACAAGGGGGTTTCACCCTGTCCAGTTCGAATAGTCCGAGATGTAATTCAGCTTTGATAGCGACTTTTTAAATTACCAAATAACATATCTTCACCATTTTCCAGCAAATATTTAAAAAAAACAATTTTTCTAATATTTCTCGAGATTAGGACTACAAAAAACATATGAAAGTATATTTTCTATTCGTTATTTGTTTCATAGTTATTAGAGGTAACAGAATTAGAATCAAGAAAATTTTGCTTCCTCCCCCCAAAATGGTCAATTTACAGCTCGTTTATCATTTTTTATCACGTGAACTTTGATGGAATCCAAAACGATTCTTATATTAATTCTTGCAGAATTCAAGAATCATGGTTTTGAATCCGCAAAGGCGAGAATAAAAAATAATATTAATATCCGTGATACAGATTGTAATATTTTTCAATAAATAAGTTATAAAAAAAAATAAAAAAATAATATCTAGAATCTAATAAACCGATAGGTGCAGTTGCTGGGGTTTTACGATCCCCGGTTTCCTGAGTACAGTACATCTACAAATACACACACAACAGTCCACTAAATCATTTACACTAACACTAAGGACACATACAATACACACTCTAGGGCTACCTCCCCTAGGATGACCTACCAGCAGGTATAAAATGCATCTACCCGTCAGAATGGTGCGAACAAGGAAACAAATAGTCTCGGACGAATCCGAAGTGAGGGCTGCTTCGGAGGGATTGGATATTCAGCCTTCGACATCTGCAGGAGGTGCGAGCTGTGCCTCGGTGTCGTATGTTCCCGGCTGTCATAGGATTCTCAACATTTAACTCTGAACCGTGCTTGGATACTGTAGATTCTCCCGCTCGAGGAAGAGGAATCATTGGCCAAGTAGGTAGGCAACGAAGGATGAAGTGAGACCGCAATATGAATATTGTCGCAATCCGAGCTTACTTATTGGCTACAACCTTAGAAAAAGAAAAAACTGGATACCGCAGTAGAATCAACCATTACTGGAATGAACAATAACTGCAAATGGCGGGTTCATCCCAAAGACTCGCTGACCAGGTAAAGGAAATATTGAAGCGAAAGTTTTTATCAGAGTCAGAAATTAAGGCAATCAAAACGGAAGTAGGCAATATACTGGACCAGAATTCGCAAAGAGAAATAGAACAAGTGGAAAATATAGAACCGGCCTCTGCAAATGAACAACCAAGAAACTCCACAAAGAACATAATTACATAGCAAAATGTTAAAAGAGCATATGCTTTATGATAGAATGCCCTTAAGTAGCAGACCCACAATACCTAAGGTACCATACTCATAAAGAACGTCAAGCATTGTCAGAGCCATCAATGAAATAGTTGCTGAGCATATGTCAGATGGTATAACTTTAGAAGAGATATGCCATTGGGTATACGTGGGAGCTCGAACAGTAACAATGGAGCCAGGATTAATAAAAGAAAGGGAGCATTGTGGTTAAGTTAATAAATGCGAAGATCCTCCCTGTAAAAGGAGAATCAAGAAAAGATTGAGGGTCTACGCTGTAAAATTGGAATCATCACTAACTATCTCCGAAGCCCTCAGAATGTTTCTTCAAAATTAAGAAAAAAAAAATTAGTACTTAACATTGGAGGTGAAGCATGCAATATGTTAAATCAAACTCGTGGTATTTATATGGAAACCCCTTTAACAAAAGTTAGCAGTGAACGCGAACAGGATCAGGATGTATACTAAAGCTCAAAATAGAAGAAGACAAAATCATATATTTGGCACTTGAGAAAAATGTTTTTATAAGATTATAAAACCTAAAGAGAATGCTAAAAAAGATGTCTACCCAGATCATTCAGAAATATCAAAATATCGGAAAGAAATTTGGGAAAGGAAAAAATGTTACAATAGCGATGCACATTGGTTGGAAAATATTCGCTATAGTCAATCAAACCTCCAACCTATGGAAACAACCAGTATTACTGTGGAAGATGTAGCAAAGTCACTTAAGCAAATGAAAAACTGGAAAGCAATTATTTCAGACCTTACTCATTCCAAAATATATGGCAATGAATATTCAATTCATCCAAAGTTCAAAAAGTTTTTTTAATAAAATTTGACGAACAACTATTAGTTTAGAAATAATTATTTCATGATTTTTCCTATAATTCATTTATTAAATAAACTAGCTTTATCCGGCCACTGTGTATCATGGAAAAAATAATACAATCAGAAAATGTAATCAATTTGTGATAATTATTA